ACCGATTGCGTTTCTTCATTAATTTTATCAATTTTTCGTTTAACTTTACTTTTCCATTTTAAAATTTTCTCCGAATATTCATCAACCGAAATTATTTCCCTTTCAATTTCGTCAACGGAAATAAATGCCTCTATCTTTATGTTAAGTTTTACAAGCTCATATTCTTTTTCAATCAATTGATCGTATAAGGTTTTTAGTTCTTCATTTTTATTCTCATCATCTAAATTTTCATCTTTATAACAGGATTCTATTTTATTAAGCAGTTTAGTCGTTAATGCTCTATATGTTGTTCTCTTTTGAATGGTTTTTTTCTTCGAGTTTTCATCAATTTCATCTGTCTCATTATCACTGACCGACATGGTTATTCAAATTCAATTCTAAAGTTCCCAAATTCAAAATTCAATTCTATTCAAGTTTCAAACAAATTCAAAATTCAATTCTATTCAAGTTTCAAACAAATTCAAAAATCAAAGTCACTTACATGAGTCATCCACATCTGCCCCACGTAATGGCGCCACAAATGAAAAAAGGTTTATTCGTCTCGGGGAAAATAATCACTTACCATGCCGGTTTTAATTACACAACTTTATTGAGACAAAACACATAGAGAACTAAAACTACATATACATAAAACAAAAATTAACATTTACTATTCACGTGACTTTATACTGCCATCTATATTTCATTTTGAAAACTACTTTAAGCATAAACACATATCATATATAATCATATCATATATATAATAGTATCATATACATAATCGTATCATCTATATAATAGTAGTCATCATAATATATATAAATATATATACATATATATCACTAAAATCTTCATATGCATCATAATTGCAATATGTATTTTCGTATATTTTTATATCAATAAAAATATGCGAAATGTTGAACACTACTACAACGCTGAAAAAATACAGTGAAAATATAATTTAAAGCAGCACTATTTGCGCTATAGTACAGCATGATATATTACTGTTAAATTGTATAACAACAATCTGTAGAAATTTTTAAATTAATTTAGTTAATTAATTTACTAATTTTTTAATTAAATTTGAAAAAAATTATTTAAATGAATGAAAACTAATGCAGGCTGTTATTTAATGACTGCTGTCATTATATATTTTTAGAAACCTTGTGAAAAATGAAGTCTCAAAAGCTATGCAAATGACTAATCACAAATTAATATTTAAAAGGAACGAAAAGAAAAAAACATTTTTTATTAAGGTGGGCAAAAGTAAAAGTGGAAAAATTAAAAAATTGTAAAACCAGTTTATTTGGAAATAAAACATAAAAGTTGTTTTAATCGAATATGAACGCGTTCCAGTAACACAAGACAAATATTAATTGTTTTTTTTCTTAATGATTTTAATTCCATTTTCGCATTTTTTGTACTCGATTTAGGTAGGACGAAGTTTTAAAACGTTCGTCTTATCTTGCTTAAAAATTAATTTGTGACCCTAAGTATGCACAGTTTTTCATTACTTCAATTTTTGCAAAGTTTCTAAGAATACATATTCATAGTCAATTAGACCCTTAATATGGAAAGTGAAGAAAAAAAGTCTACTTCATTTTTCGCATTATATTACTAGAATGGTATATAGTTTCACTTATTTTCAAAAAGAAAAAAAAGCCGAATTTTTTTCATAAATTTAAAAAACGCGTGATAAAGTTTTTTGCTTTTATAATTTAAACGATATTTTCATTAAAATAAATACCAATAAAAGCAATTGCTATTGTAATATTTCACGAAATGTCCTGTTTTATGATACACAAGTTAGTTTTAAAAAATAAGCCACTTTTCTAGAATAAGAACTAAAATAAGTGCAAGTTTAATAAAACATCCAAAATTTCATTACTTGAAAAATAAACATTATTTTAAAAAAATAAATTAACATGGAAAAAATTAATAATAAAATTATATTTGGTTGACAGTTTCCTTTTTGAAACTTCAGATTAAAAAGACTTTTTGAGAAACATATTAAAGAGTAATAAAAGTTTTTATAAACTTGCCTCTTAATATCAATGACCCATAGAACAATGCGATATATTATCCAATATAATATTTGACGAGTCCAGAAAATTCGTGCCACTATTTCTCAAAGTTAAAAACAAATTTATCTGTACCTGTAATTCAATTACAACTGTTCTAGTCTAAGTTTTCAAATCATCCTTTTATTACGAATCATTTTATAACTGAATTATCATTCATTAGATATGACTTCGTATCTTACAAAAACAAGCATTTGAAATCCCATTTTCCCAGACAACTGTCTAGAGTTTCTAACGATCTGAAGGAATTTCTGATTCAAAGGTGTAAATGATAAATAATGTATATTGCTGATGTAGAGAAACTTTTTCATGTACACTATTTTCTTCAAAAAGAAACATTTGTTTCTTCTTCTTAATATTCGAGTTGCATAGCATTATGACGTAACCAACATTACTTATTTTTATGGTAGGGTTTGTATTTGCATAACAAGACTCTCGATGTTCAATAAAATGGCCAAATGATAAAAAATTAAAAAAAATCACGACGCCGAATTTTTACGACTCACATGCAAATATATGAAGTTTTTGGCTTTTTTTTGTTTTAAATTTTTCTTTTTGACAAATAATAAAAATATGTTATCGTCTGTCAGACTATTAGTAACATGTCTGTTATGCAAACTTCTTTTCTTTCCAAAATGGCAACAACCATTTATTTACACTTGAATACAAGTAGAAGTAAGAGATAATTTCGATGGTCAGACTGAAGATTTATTGAAAATTTTGACATTTATTGGATTTGATAACTACAGAGAATGGACGAGACGAAACGATTGAACACACAGGCTTGATTTTAAATGCTGCCCTAACAATAAAAGACTTTCGTTAAAGTAATAAAAGTTAGTTTATCTCAATTGTAAACGAAGGCAAGCTTGTCCAAACATTTGACACCGAAGTTCTGTTGTTTTCTATGAGGAGAGCTACAGGAAGGCGATATTGCTTGATTATTTGATTGGTTGATTATTTTTTCATAATGTGAACATGATTTTCATGGAGAATGATAACCATCAATGGATGTGGTAGATTGGTCAGTTTGGAAGCCAGGCTAATCAACCTTACAACCGCAAAAGTTATTGTCTGATTGATAGCTATTCCATTTCGTCAAATAGAGCTTCAAAGATGGTAATTATCATAAATGGATGTGATAACTTAACCACTATGGTCTTTAGGCTAGCCAGCCTGATAGCCACAACAATTATTGACTGAGTGATAATTATACCATTCTGTGAATAAGATCTTCATAGACAATAATAATCAATAATGTGGTAGATTGATTTGTATGGTAACTATAATAAAGATAAAAAACATTCAAATATTTATTCTTGTTTAAATGCATTTAATGTCTCAAAATCATTACAAGAACTTTATAAGAAATTTTTTCCTTTAAAGATATTTTAATTTTATATAGTAGATTTATATAGTAATAAGCACTACGGGTGCGAGGCTAGCCAGCCTGATTGTTACAACAATTATTGAATGAGTGATTATTATTCCATTTCGTGAATAAGATCTTCATAGACAATAATAATCATGAATGGATGCGGCAGATTGACCACAATGATCTGGAGGCTAGCAGACTTGACAGCCAAAACAAATATTGACTGATTGATAATCAGTCCATTGAGTGAATAAGATCTTCGTAGACTATAATAATCATGAATAGAAGCGGGATATTTATCATTATGGTCTCCTAACTGACCATACATTCAACTCACATAAGAGTTAGATTCTTTCAAATTCTTTACAACATTGAGATGAGCTCGATATTTGAATTTATAATATTTTCTGAGCAAGAATTAACATTTCCAGGTTGGTTTCGCATTTGGTACTGTAGCTTTGATTAGTTTTAATGGGTGTTAAAAAAAGTCTTTTCACTTCATAATTAATGATTTTCGGTTACCTTACTGAACCGACACAAAAGGAAAAAAAACATCTACATATTTAAGTTTGGCGAAATGTATTTAATGTTTAGAAGGAAAAAAAATCGTTACCCATGAATTTCATAACAATTTTTTTTCAATTTAAAAGATTTTAGTTACGTACAGTAGATTAATACAGTAAGAGTTTTTGATAAGGCCTTGCATTTACTTCATTACTTATAAATCAAAAATAAACAGGTCTCTTCCTTTTTGATTGAGTGGCACTAAATACTGGAAAAAAAATTTTTTAGTTTAAAAGAAGCTTAAATAATTCAAAATTTGATCCATAATTTGTGTAAATGAATTTACACTCATTTTGGTTCTTAAAGTTCATAAAAATAAAAAGTCAAGTTAGGGTATAAAATAAAAAATTAAATAAATAAATAAATGAAAAAGAAATTAAATGAAATAATTTTTACCAGAATCGCTCAAAAAAGTTTTAGGAAGAGGACATAGAAATTTAAAAAAGTTCAAAAGAAAGAAAAAGAATTCAGTTTGTATGTTGCTCCGTGCATAATCATTATCAAAATTTTTAACTATAAAATTAATATTTTGTTTTTGTGCATTTTTAAATTAAACAGTATTTCTCCGCAATGCAATTTTGATTAATTTTTAATTATATAATTTATTTTATGATTTTTGACATAGTTTATATTATTAAGAAGTTTCTGCGATATTTGTGAATTAATTCTTCAAATATTAGTCAAGCTATGGTTATTTCGAATTTCAACAGATAGTTCACATAAAACAAGATAAGCATTTTGAACATGAATTAAAAACTTACTTCAATTAAAAGTGGGCTATCCATCCTAATTTTTTTTAAATAATTAAAAATTAATAAATTTTTTTCAACTGAAAATCTTCTTAACTGCTTCCCTTGAATTAGCCATAAACTGATATAATTTCGATAAATATAACGACAATCAAACCTGCCTCCAAATTCTAGAAATAAGAGAAATAAACTGGCATTAAAGTAACAGAGTGTCAGCTGTGTTGTTTCACATGTCATCTAGTGTTTCTTGAATTAGTATTGCATGTCTTTATTTGCACTTGAGTCATTCAAAATTCTCATTATTTGTCTTTTTGGCCAAATAATAAATGCAAATAATTTTTAATTTTATTCTTAGATTTTCTTGTATTACGGCACAATAATATCTTAAATATGTTAATATATGAAATATATATGAAATATAATGTATATGAAATATATATGAAATATATATATGAAATATAATATGAAATATAATATATATGAAATTTTATGAAATAATAATGAATTATATATAATAATTAAGTTAAGTTTATTTAAGTTATTATATAATAATTNCAACAGCGGCCTTTTAAAGCATTCTCACTTCAATTAATTAATTAATTCCTAATTGAGTTTAAATTAAATATTGTCATGTTTTTAGTGCATGAATCTGAATTGAACAACCTGATAATGCTCACTCTGGTTATTGTTATCTGGTTGCTCACTACGTGCTCTTGCGCGCCGAATCCAATCAATTAAAAATGAAAACTGTTGCCAGCGCGAGAAAAGAAATATCATCGGTTTTATTGATACATACATACATACGTACGTACGTATTAGCGTTTTATATAATATTTTTTTTTTATTTCCAATGAGCTGCACAATCGGTCTTGCCGATGAGCAGACCTAGTGCGTTCTCCAGAGTTTTATATAATATAGATTATTCCATTCTGTGAACAAGATCTTCATAGACAATAATAATCAAGAATGGGTGTGGTGGATTGATTATATGGTTTCGGAGCTTGTCAGTTATCTTACTGTATAGATACAAAAAGAAGAAAAAAACATTTAAGTGTTTAAATTTCACGTCATGTATTTAATGTTTCAAAGAAATCAGAACATGAATTTTGTAAGATATTTTTTCTCTTAAAAATATTTTAGTTTGATATAGTAGCTTTAAATAGTAATAACCACAACGGACTTGAGGCTATAGCCAGCCTGACTGTTACAACAATTATTGAATGATTGATTATTATTCCAGTTCGTGAATCAGATCTTCATAGACAATAATAAGCAGGAATGGATGTGGTAGATTGACCACTGTGGTCTCCAGGCAAAAACTGGCTTGACTGCCAGAACAAACATTGACTGATTGATAATTAGTCCATTGAGTGAATAAGATCTTTGTAGACAATAATAATCATGAACAGATGTGGGATATTTATCATTATGGTCTCCTGATTGACCGTGCATTCAACTCACATAAGAGTTAGATTCTCTCGAATTCTTCACAACGTTTAGATGTACTCGATATTTGAATTTATAATATTTTCTGAGCTAGAATAAAAATTTCCTGGTTGGCTTCGCATTTGGTATTGTAGCTTTGATTAGCTTTAATGGGTGTTAAAGAAAAAGAGTATGGGTCTTTTCATTTCGAAATTAATGATTTTCATTAACCTTACTGAACCGACACAAAAGAAGAAAAAAACATCTAAATAATTGAGCTTGGCGAAATGTATTTAATGCTTAGGAAAAAATCGTTACAAAAGAATTTCAAAAGAATTTTTTTTGAATTAAAAGGATTTTTGACTCGTACAGTAGATTAATACAGTAAGCGTTTTTGATAAGGCCCTGCATTTACTTCATTACTTATAAAGCAAAAATAAACAGGTCTCTTCCTTTTTGATTGAGTGGCACTAAATATTGAAAAAAAAGTTTTTAATTTAAAAGAAGGTTAAAAAATTCAAAATTTGATCCGTAATTTGTGTAAATGAATTTACACTCATTTTGGTTCTTGAAGTTCATAAAAATAAAAAAGCCAAATTTGGCTATAAAATAAAAGATAAATAAAATGAAAAAAAAAATTTGAAATAATTTTTACCAGAATCGCTCAAATAAGTTTTAAGAAGAGGACATAGAAATTTAAAAAAGTTCAAGAGAAGGAAAAAGAATTCAGTTTGTATGTTACTCCGTGCAAAATCATGATCAAATTTTTAAACTAAAATTAATATTTTGTTCTTGCGCATTTTCAAATTAAACAGTATTTCTCCGCAATGCAATTTTGGTTAATTTTTAATTATATAATTTATTTTATGATTTTAGACATAGTTTATAATATTAAGAAGTTTCTGTGATATTTGTGAGTTAATTCTTCAAATATTAGTCAAGCTGTGATAATTTCGAATTTTAACAGCTAGTTCAAATAAAACAAGCTAAGCATTTTAGACATAAATTAAAAACTTACTTCAATTAAAAGTGGGCTATCCATCCTATTTCTTTTTAAATAATTAAAAATTAGTTAATTTTGTTTAGACAGAAGATCTTCTTAACTGCTTCCCTTGAATTAGCTATAAACTGATATAATTTCGATAAATATAGCGGCAATCAAACCTGCCTCCAAATTCTAGAATAAGAGAAATAAACTGACATTAAAGTAACAGATTGTCAGCTGTGTTGTTTCACATGTCATCTAGTGTTTTTTGAATTAGTATTGCATGTCTTTATTTGCACTTGAGTCATTCA